AAACTCTTAGAAAAAAACATAGGCAAAAATCTCTTGGACATAAACATGAGTGACTTCTTCATGAACATATCTCCCTGGGCAAGGGAAACAAAAGCAAAAATGAACAAGTGGGACTATATTAAGCTGAAAAGCTTCTGTACAGCAAAGGACACCATCAGTATAACAAAAAGGCATCTACAGTATGGGAGAATATATTCATAAATGACAGATCTGGTAAAGGGTTGACATTGAAAATATATAAAGAGCTCATGCACCTCAACAATCAAAAAGCAAATAATCCAATTAAAAAATGGGCAGAGGAGCTGAACAGACAGTTCTCCAAAGAAGAAATTCAGATGGCCAATGGACACATAAAAAGATGCTCCACATCAATTGTCAGAGAAATGCAAATTAAAACCACAATGAGATATCACCTCACACCAGTAAGGATCACCACTATCCAAAAGACAAACAACAACAAATGTTGGCCATGTTGTGGAGAAAGGGGAACCCTCCTACACTTGCTGGTGGGAATGTAAATTAGTTCGACCATTGTGGAAAGCAGTATGGAGATTGCTCAAAAAGCTCCAAATAGAAATACCATTTGACCCAGGAATTCCACTTCTAGGAATTTATCCTAAGAATGCAGCAGCCCAGTTTGAAAAAGACATATGCACTCCCTATGTTTATCGCAGCACTATTTACAATAGCCAAGAATTAGAAGCAACATAAGTGTCCATCAGTAGATGAATGGATAAAGAAGAGGTGGTTCACATACACAATGGAATATTCTTCAGCCATAAGAAGAAAACAAATCCTACCATTTGCAACAACATGGATGCAGCTAGAGGGTATTATGCTCAGTGAAATAAGCCAGGAGGAGAAAGACAAGTACCAGATGATTTCACTCATATGTGGAGTATAAGAACAAAGAAAAAACTGAAGGAACGAAACTGCAGCAGAAACACAGAACCCAAGAATGTACCAACAGTTACCAAAGGGAAAGGGACTGTGGAGGATGGGTGGGAAGGGAGGGATTAAGTGCAGGGAAAAAAAAAGGGGGCATTACGATTAGCATGTATAATGTTTGTGGGGGCACAGGGAAGGCTGTGCAACACAGAGAAGACAAGTAGTGATTTTACAGCATCTTACTATGCTGATAGACAGTGAGTGTAATCCGGTTTGTGGGGGGGCTTGGTGAAGGGGTGAGCCTAGTAAACAATGTTCTTAATGTAATTGTTTATTAATCATAAAAAAAATTCCTAGGTAGCAGTAACTGGGTCACGTGGTATTTCTACTTTTAGTTTTTTGAGGAACCTACATATTGCTTTTCATAGTGGGTGCTCCAATTAGCTATCCTTCCAACAGTATAGGAGGGTTCCCATTTCTCTTCATCCTCACCAACATTTGTTATTTCAGGAAATTTGCATTTCCCTGATGATCAGCAATGTGGAGCATCTCTTCATGTGCCTCTTGGCTATTTTGGGTTTTATCTTTGGAAAAATGTCTGTTTGAGTCCTCTGCACATTTTTTAATCAGGTTTTTTGTTTTTTGGGTGTTGAGGCCTATGAGTTCTTTATATATTTTGGGTGTTAACCCCTTATCAGACAAATAATTTAGAAAAATATGTTCCCACACTGTAGGATGCCCTTTTGTTTTATTGATGGTGTCTTGCTGTACAGAAGCTTTTTAGTTTGATGTAATCGCACTTTCTCGTTTTTATTTATGTTCAAGAGATTTTTGCCTGTTTTCTTCTAAGAGTTTTATGGTTTCATGACTTACATTCAGGCCTTTGATCCATTTTGAGTTGACTTTTATATATGAAGTTAGACAATAATCCAATTTCATTCTCTTACATGTAGCCTGTCCATTTTTCCCAACACCAGTTGTTGAAGAGGCTGCCTTTTCCCCATTGTATATTCATGGATCCTTAATCATATATTAATTGACCATATATTTGTGGTTTGTATCTAGACTCTCTATTTTGTTCCATTGATCTATAGGTCTGTTTGTGCCAGTAACAAATTGTTTTGATTACTGTAGCTTTATAGTACAGCTTGAAGTCAGGGAGCATAATCCCCCCAGCTTTGTTATTTTTTTCTCAGGATTGCTTTGGCTATTTGGGGCCTTTTGTGGTTCCATATGAATTTTAAAACTAGTCATTTAAAAAATGCTGTTGTAATTTTGATAGGGGTTGCATTTAACTGCTTTATTAACTCAATTTAAGAAGTAGGGGCAATTGTTTCCTCCATTTTATGAATGAGGAAACTAAGAGAGGTTAAATAACTTGCCCTTGGTTACACACTTAATACAGGGTAGATATCTGAATCCAGGAAATCTGGCTCCAAAATCCTCTCTCTTAACTACTATACTATAGACATGCATACCTTATATATCAAACTGCATGTTACACAGTAAACTTACTTTGATATGTTCAAACATTTGAAAAATTAGACCAAATTTAAATGTACACTTATGATTAGACATGAAAATGAGGTGCACCCGGACATTAAAAACATTGCTGGTTTAATTAACAGATGAACAGGCTAATTGAGTAATTATTTTGCATATTTACAACAATTTGTAAAAATTAAAATTTAAGTAGTACAGCATGGAGAATATAACCAATGATTCTTTAACATCTTCCTATGTTGACAGATAGTAACAGCACTAGAAGGGGGTGAGGATTTAATAATATGGTAACTGTTGAACCACTGTGTTGTATACTTGAAACCAATATAAGATTGTCTATCAATGAAACTTCAATAAAGAAAAGAAAAAATATTTAAATTTAAAGTATATTAGGTAAAATATCCCAAAATGGAAACTAAAAAATAATAGAGATGTATTTTATATCTGGAATAAAATAGTTTCAAGACCAGGCTCTTTTAAACAGCACATCTCCCTGAATTTATAGGAATCAACCTTATCTAAAGCTAACTATCTTCCTTAACAGTAAATGTTTCATGTATCACAAAAAGATTATTCATATAACATATAATTTATGTAATATAAAATACAACTGACATATGTACATTTGTTTTACCATTTGCCGCCTTGCTTCTACAAAAGCACGCTTCTCTTCTTCTAAACGTTGTCTTGCTTCCTCTTCAGCTTGCTTCCTTTGGTTTTCTTGTCTTTGTCTTTCCAGTTCTTCAAAAGTTAGTTTCAATTTTCCAGGAGAAAGTGATTCTTTTTTTGCCTCACTTTCTAGTTCATCATCCTTAAAAAAAAAGAACATTATGAAACCCATCTGTTAAATGATAAAGGGAAATACTGGTAACCAATGTAACTGCTTTTAATATTTTCCTTAAAAAAATTTACCATGACCAATGAAAGACACTTTGCTTCTTTGAGAGATCGTCGTTGTTCTTCATATCTTATTCTTTTATCTTCCTCATACTTGACCCTTTCTTTTTCTTCTCGTTCTTTTTCTAGGTCCTCAAAATTCTTTTGTATTTTTCCAGATGTTTTGTGTGATTTGATAGGTACCACTGTTACAAGTAGTGAATCATCTCCTTCCTAATTTATAAAATAGATAGTTATCATATTTCTTCCTAATCAAAATTTAGGTTTCACAGGATTTTACCTCCATCACTGGTAATTTCATTACATTGCCATCAATGTAATGAAGAAAAAATACTTTTTTTTTACAGATTCTATTCAATAGCTCTTTCTCTGAATTCATTGTACATTATGAGTTAATCTTACTGAAATCCATTGCTGACAGAGTTCAAGGAGCATCTTCTTTCCTAGAAGATGGTGATAATACAGCCATTCAGATAAAACTGCATGACATTATCTAAATTTTGCTCTCGTGCACTAGTCCCACAAAAGGTGATGTGCATGTGAATGAACTCTAAATCAATTTGATGGTGGACTGATTCAGTTAAAACACAAATAAAAAGTTTCTCCATGTGATTTTTCTCTTCATGCAAGTTTTTAGATGCTTAATAAAACTAATACTTAGAAAAAAAACCATAGTATTTCCAAGTGATTTAAAAAACACAGACAAAACTATTTGGCCTTTGTTCCTATTAAGATATTTTGAAATTTGTTTTTTAAATTCATTTTAGTTAGTTCTATTACATAATCTATTGTTGCCTTTGAAGTTTTTAAAATATATATATAATTATAATGTGTAATACATGGTCCTAAAATAAAATTGCTTATAATTTAAGTGGCTGTAGTTTTAGATGCACCATCAAATTGACTGACTTTTTATTTTTTCTGTTAGATAAAAAGAGGTAACTAAAATTTTTGTGGTTGTTGAACATTCCTTCATGGAACTGGATACTGCACTCTACCAGTGTGTGATAACCATAACAAACTGTTAGGAACTCTGAGGAAAGAAGAAAAAATGATGAAAAGAAAACTGCCTTTTAAAATACTAGCTTTCCATAATCTTGAGAGCATTACTAGTAATAGTTCAATAACCTTGAGAACTATTAGAAGTATATAGTCTTAGCAGAATAGCTCAAACTGAGACTTGAGTCTCTAAACCATGAAAGCAAAAACACTTTTCTTTAAAAACACTAAGCTATAGTGTTTGAAAATGCACAAGTACTATCTTGCTTTGCAAAATATTTTTGTCCTTTTTGTTCTTGTTGCTGTAGTTGTAATAAGAATGAAAACTTAATTAGAAGATTATTTGTGAATCAGATAATTTTAGGTGAATGTTTCATTAAAGGAAATGTCCATTTACCTCTGATGCTGATTCAGTTCCCGTATTGTTTATGTCCTCAATCTATTGAATGAGAATTTCATATCATTACATTACATCAGATTTCTGCCTTTTGCTTTTAAATATGCAAGTGAAAAGTAATTTAGTTGTGACTTATGCTGTTTTCAAATTTATAATTTTAAAAATATGTTGCTCCAAATTATCCAATTATATCCTTTAAATGGAGATAAAACCTTATATTAGTTTTTGAATTTTGATATCAAAATCAATGTCTAGGAGCAACAAATTTTAAAAAATTAAAATAAAGCCTACCTTTGTAATTCTGTAATTTGAATAATGGACCAAACTCAAGACCTGGCTGTGACCTTATAAGCAGCAGTTATTAAATTACCAATTTAAACTGAGATAGAGAAACATTTCTACATTCTCTGTCTCTGCCCCAGAAAAAGGAAAACTTATCATTAGCAATCAAATAATCATCGTGAGTATATAATACAATATAAATATACAGCAAAAATATAACTGACACAATAATAAAGTGCTGTGAAAGGCATAGGATTTTAGATGGCTAGTTTAGAAAGGAAGATAATTCTGGTAGTCGTAATTTTGACAGATATAGGTAGGAAGGGCCCTAATTGAAAAGGAGGGAGCTCAGTTTGGCCATTACTCATAAGAAACATCATTAGGTTACATTGAAAGGCAGGCTAATGTGCAGCGTTTGAGAGCTCAAGAAAAGGAAATAAAAGCAATGGGAAAAATGGAGAAAGTTAGGAAGTAAAGATTCAGATCACTATTGTTTTAATTTGTTTTTTAACACCAATGGAAGAGTCTGGAAGTAGTTTGTGACTCATGAAGTCTAAGGGAATTCTATTGTACCTTGGCTCATACTTGGAACTGGGCTGGCTTACTCCCTATTCTTTCATCATCTCATTTTCCTTTTCTCTATTCTGTCAAGGAATAAATATATAATTTTTACTAAGTACCAAATTTCTTGAAAGAGAAATTATTTCAAACAAGTCATTTATTAAAAATAAATCTATTTTATATTTTAAAAGTGAATATGGTAAAGGTTTTATTGATGATTAATTATATTAAGAAAAGTTTTAACAGATATAGAATAAAATAATTACAAAATTATTTCCCTTCAAAAGAATGCTAACAATTTCTCTACAAATCACTTTAATCTCTCAATAAAAAGTTCTGGGAGATATGGTGACAAGCCAGACAATTGAAAATATAGAGAAGAGAAACTAAATAAATTTCTTAAACCCAAATTTCTTTTTCTATCTGCTTACAACCTTGCCAAATTTTTTTAACTTATAGTAAGATAATAAACTATATTTGGAGTTTTTCTTTGTTATTGCCTTCTTTATTTTAAATCCTTAACAAAACAAAAAAAGAATTTTTTCCCCATTGGGTGTCAATAAACAGGGGAAAAGATGAATTTGTTTAAGGAGCTATGGTGTCAATATATTCATGGAGAACTGAGATATTCAGATCAGCTATACTGTTGGCTTTCAGAAGCTACCATCAAAGACCGGCTTCCCAACTATTTATTTTGACTTACGGAAAGGAAACTCTTTTTGCTCTTTCCCATATCAACTTCCTTGTCTTTCCTTTTTCCTCAATATCCCAGACCGCACCAATAACTTCTCTATTTCTAAGTTAAAACTTCCCCAATCAGAGGATCCTCAAAGATAACCAGATTATACCAAATTAGGATTCTCCTCCAAATTTTATTGGTCTTTGATTCTAACATCTAGTATATGAAGTATAACCATTTTAAATTTGTCATAAAATACTAAAATCTCAGAACTGGTAATGATCTTGGAGGTCACTCAGCTACCCTCCTAATTCAGGAATCCCTTTTATAGCATTCTTGAATATGAACTTGTACAAGTGGATTATTCAAACAAATGTTAATATTCTTCTTGACTACTTATGTCATACTTTACCTCTTATACTCAATGATAGGCAAAATTAGACTTGAGCAGAAAATTTACTTCGTTTTTTAAGTTAGAGTTTCCATATTGTAAGATGAAATTTCTATTAAAAGTTTATTTTGCTCTATCTACAATTCTCAAATAATTTCATAGGCCAAAAATTTCATTAATCAGGATTCTATGGCACACTGCCATATAGTATCTAGGATTACTAAAGAAGGTGTTCTTTTTCATGAATAGTTTTCTTTCCATCTCTTTTTGAGTATCCTATGTTCTCACCATATTCAAATTCACCTCTTTAACACACAAATAGTTTTTCTTTGAGAAACAATTGCCTACATATTCAATTCCTGGGGTTATAGTAGTCTTAATAGTCTACTGAGTAAGAAGCGCTTTTTAAGAAAAGAACAAAAGACTTAAAAGAGGTAGACTAACTCCATATTCATACCCACTATTTGCTGCCAAACACCATATATTTTATGTATTTTATTATAATTTATTACCATATTTTATAGTTTATATTAAAAATACAATTACATGTACTGATGTTTATGTCATTTATAATGCTCATTTATTATAATTATATTCCCTTGTGAAATTTCATTGTAAAATGAATACTAATGATGACTGGAGGTAACAATGGTAAAGTATATACCTTCCTTTCTTTAGATAGGGGTACAAAGTAATAAAATGTAGGAAATTCCAACATTCTTTTCTATAATACATCTGGCATATGTCATTATTTGCCACCATCCAAGTGGCTATTTGAGCTATAGAAGTAGTTATTTGCAAACTCTGGGTAAATAAATTTCTGTGACATCCAAGTATGGCATATGCTTTGCCTTGTCACTTTTCTTTTTAGAAAGATAGTGGAAACTGAAAGGAGCATAGCAAATAGGTTTAACGCACTTGGAATAGGCAAAAAAGAGCCAACTACAATTCCACAATAAAAGTGATTTTTAAAGAGACAATATACTGTGAAGTTTAGGTCATTTGTGAAAATATTGACGAGAGAGGGAGGAGAAACTAAAATGGTTTCATAACATTTTATCTGTGTACTATTACTTAGGTAAAAAATTACTCAGAGCCCACTTACTTTGTCCCAGGCACTGTTATAAGTGCTTTGCACTTATTAACTCTTATTTATCAACAACTCTAGGAGGTAAATACCATTATCTTATTAAGCTCAATACACTGATCATCTTTTTTGATCTTACAATATAGTGCAGGTTGAAGGACAAACAATAAACTGTCTTGTCAACTTTTCAATTCTATGACTACAGAGTTTATCATGTAAAACAAATACTATTAAAGACATTTTTGTGAATTGATAAATACTTAATAAAATATGACTATTAGAACTTCAGGTTTCCATGTCATTATAGTCATTAATAGTTTTGAGAGATTAGCTTTTCCTGGAAACTAGATCAGATTCTTTAGTATTTTAAAAATACCAGCCTCTTAGTCCTCATGCTCTGTGCTAAAATATGTGAGAATTTTAAATTCATTAAGAGACTTAAACTCATAGTAATAAAATTTTTCTGCCTTCTAATTTGTCCTCCATAAATGGCTGTGAGCATCAGTAGTGGCTGTATGAAGGAAACACCTGTCACACATTCTCCTGTCGTCTACTACTGTCCCCAATTTAAAAAGAAAAGTTAAGCTAGTTAATACCACCATTATTAAATAAAATATGATTTGTTTCAGATTATTAAGAGAAAGCTATTCTAATTTTTCCTTAGTGTTTGATAAGAACCACCAAGTATTGATTGCTACTAAAAGACCAGCATTTTGCTAGGTGCTTGTAAATAGTTTTATGTGTGAAATTACCTTACATCTTTGTAAAATCCTCTACTTTGTCAAGAACAATAAGGAATGTGAACAGTGTAAGGAATGTGGACAGAATGGTAAGATAGTATATAACAAAAGTCATACCTTATCCTTCTAGATATTTGATATTAAATATTTGTGTTTAAGATTTTCTTTTCAAGTTACCTGCTCTTGACTAGGTTTATGGTATAGCAAAATATTTTAATTAGACAACATATTGATTGTTTTTACTCTACATTCATTTCTGAAGCAAATACTAACAATATTTAGTGTATACCTTCTCTGCCCTTTTTGCTAATTCACGTTGTATCTTCCTCTTTTCTAACATGTCCTGCTCAGTTCTGCGTTTTCGTTCTTCCTCAGTTCTCTTCCTCTGTTCCTCTTGTCTTTGTTTCTCCATTTCAGCAAATCTACCTTTAACAGTTCCTAAGAATACATTGTACAAGTTTAATATTTTGCTGTGTTTCCTTTTTTGCAATTTCATTTATAGTTTACTACTTAAGTTTCTTACCTGTTAGTTTTGGAACATAAGCCTTTTCTATTTTAGAAGACATGTCTTCCTCATCATCAGAAGCAAGCATTTCTTTAATCTAGATAGTTAAATAAATTAATATAAACATGCCCAAAATTTAGACAAAATTATATTAAATGTAGAGTTTGAAATTAGCTAATAAATACAGAAAATTATTTTTAATCATAGTTCATATGAAATGTAGATAATGTAAATAAATGTAAATTAAAAAGATAAAAATATATGCACAAGAATAAAATAAAATAAAATAACCTCCTGCTTCCTCCTGTTCCATTCTCTCTCTCTAATATATTGTTCTTTTCTTCTTTGCTTTTCGTCTCTAGATCTCCTTTGATTTCTTTCTTCCCTGGCTTTCTGCATGGCTTCAAACTTATCCTTTACATCACACTTGCCAAGTTTTGGCACATAGGTTTTTGAGACAGGTTTAGTTGAAGAAAGCAGAATCTTCATTAGAAGAAAATAAAGAGAAGAAAGTTAAAAAAAAAAAAGACAAAGAAATAAGGTAAAGATAGATAAACAATATAAGAAATACTGAAACACCTCAGAATTTACCCAAAGAAAACAAGTTCTCAGATTCAAAAGATGTATGCACCCCTGTGCTTATTGCAGCACTATTTACAATAGCCAAGAAATGGAAGCAACCTAAGTGTCCATCAGTAGATAAATGGATAAAGAAGACGTGGTACATATACACAATGGAATACTTCAGCCATAAGAAGAAGACGAATCCTACCATTGCAACAACATGGATGGAGCTAGAGGGTATTATGGTCAGTGGAATAAGCCAGGTGGAGAAAGACAAGTACCAAATGATTTCCCTCATTTGTGGAGTTTAACAACGATGCAAAACTGAGGAACAAAACAGCAGCAGACTCACAGACTCCAAGAAAGAACTAGGGGTTACCAAAGGGGAAGGGTGGGGCTGGGTGGGAGGGAGGGAGAAGGGAATTGATGGGGTATTATAATTAGTACACATGGTGTGGGGGTGGTCACGGGGAAGACAGTGTAGCACAGAGAAGACAAATAGGGACTCTGGCATCTTACTACACTGATGGACAGTGACTTCATTGGGGTATGGGGGGAACTTGATAATATGGGTGAATGTAGTAACTGCAATGTTTTTCATGTGAAACCTTCATAAGAGTGTGTATCAATGATACCTTAATTAAAAAAACAATAAAAAATACTGAAAGAGAAAACAAATGAATTTGAAACCTGTATTTGTACCATCAGAATGTAATTAGATACTTTCTAAAGTCTAAGTATGAAAAATGAAATTACAGAAAATATGGATAAAAATGTATTAATATGCCATAAAGAAGTCCCATTTTGTAGGTGTGCTCCACTGAAGCTGAAGACTAGTAAAATACAAAAATTCAGCCCTGGATTCTAATTTAAAATAACCTGTATTTATTGCCCTACTCCATTAAAGATTCAGATTTTATGTCACTTGCTTAAAAGATACCAAAATTATTTCCATAAATTAGAGGAAGTTGGAAACAAAGCAAAATTTAGTCTTTTAAGTTTAAAGGCTAATTCATGTATTAACATTCTTGCTTGTATCTGTCTCATATAAGCAAAACTAAAGGCCAGTCACTTCTCATTTATGGCTCAGGTATGTACCAGGGTCTTTTTGTATTAGTGATTTATGCTGCTACTAGTGCTATACTGCCCATCTGAACTTCCTTTAAACCAATATTTAAATGTGTAAGAAGCCTGTATCATTCCAAATAGGATCAGCTACAAGAAGAAAATTCCCAAATGGCAAAAAAGATTCCCAGAGAAAGAGGAATCTGGTAAAAGACTCGATAAAAGATTTTCCTCCACTTTAAAACTAGGAGAGCAAATTATTGTTCTTATTTTGAAAATTAATCTGATCTCTAAAAGAAGTTTCAGTAAATAAAACTTCAGTGCCTCAGAACCTTTAATCCTAAAGGTAAAGGCAAAATGCTTATTTAATCTGTGCCACAAAGGTTTTTAAACTTCATAATTTTGGGGTGTCAGCAATTGAGCTCTTTTTACTACAACTCAGTAACTACAGAACCACAAAAGGCTAAGAAAAGTTTTAATGCAGCTGCTGGAAGAAATAGCTAAGAAGGACCCTCACCTGAGTAAATTATTGCTTTCTCCTAAGAGTATACATGAATCTGCTTTTAAAACTGAAAAAATAGCTTCTAGGACTAATCGAGATATTAAAATTCTACTCAAGATGCTAGCCATCATATCCACTTCACCACCATTCACAAATCTAATAATCATGCTTCCTAGATTAGAATCCAAATAAAAATATGGGGCCCAAGACCAGCCTGTGAATTTTACCTTTTCTGTGTTTTCTATCTTGACACTATGTTGTTACGAATTTCTGAATATGACCTTTCCACCAAACAATTGCCTTTTAGCAGTTTCACAGTCAATCCTTTGTTTTCCCAACTTTCTTTTTTTAACTTTTTGGACTTACCTCAGCCTTTTGGGAAATATCATTCATGTTTGCTCTATGTGGTTGTGGGGTAATTATGGAGCTTTGTATATTTCTGCACCTGAAAAAAATACAGTGATGTTGAATAAGAGTTTTTAATTACGTAAGTTTTTAATATGCTATGTATTCTTATAAACAGAAATAGCATATTAATTGCCTCTCAGAAAATACTGACATAATCCAGGAAAGTAATATATTGTGATAACCCTCATCTGCTTTTCCTTTTCCTAAGATTCAGGATATGGAAGGTACAAGGTGCATGGTGTTAAAAGATCGTTGTTAGTTTGTGGCCCAGAATAGCTTGGTGAATATATCAAGTGGATTTACAAAGAATTTGTATTCTGCAGTTATTGGGTGTATTATTATATAAATATCAACTAGGTCAAGGTTGTTAATTTAGATCTTCTATGACTTTAATATATATTTTTTTCTTTTACCTAGTACTATCAGTCTTCAGCTCTGTGGATTGTCCCTTTCTTCCTTTCTTTCTGTCATTTTTGTTTCATGTAATCTCAAGCTCTATTAAGTGCATATACATTAAGATTTTAATATCTTCTTTCTGAACTAATCATTTCATCATGAAATTTCTCCTTACCTCATTGTCTTGAATTTATCTGATATTAAAATAACTACACCAATGTTCTTAAGTTTAATTTGCATAGTATATAATTTTCTATTTATGTCTTGTATATGTATATATTGTATATCTCTTGGACACAGCATATATTTTTTTTTTGGTATCATTAATGTACAATTACATGAGCAACATTATGGTTACTAGACTGCCCCCATTATCAAGTCCCCACCACATACCCCATTACAGTCAGTCCATCAGCATAGTAAGATGCTATATACTTGTCTTCTCTGTGTTGTACTGCCTACCCTGTGCCCCTCCCCCGCCTACATTATGTGTGCTAATCGCAATGCCCCTTTTTCCCATTATCCCTCCCTTCCTACCCATCCTCCCCAGTCCCTTTCCCTTTGGTAACTGTTACTCCATTCTTGGGTTCTGAATCTGCTGCTGTTTTGTTCCTTCAGTTTTTTCTTTGTTCTTATACTCCACAGGTGAGTGAAATCATTTGATACTTGTCTTTCTCCACCTGGCTTATTTCAGTGAGCATAATACCCTCCAGCTCCATCGATGTTGGTGCAAATGGTAGGATTTGTTTTCTTCTTATGGCTGAATAATATTCCATTGTGTGTATGTACCACTTCTTCTTTATCCATTCATCTACTGATGGACACTTAGGTTGCTTCCGTATCTTGGCTATTGTAAATAGTGCTGTGATAAACATAGGGGTGCATCTGTCTTTTTCAAACTGGGCTGCTGCATTCTTAGGGTAAATTCCTAGGAATGGAATTCTGAGTCAAATGGTATTTCTATTTTGAGCTTTTTGAGGAACCTCCATACTGCTTCCACAATGGTTGAACTAATTTACATTTCCAACAGCAGAGTAGGAGGGTTCCCCTTTCTCCACAACCTCGCCAACATTTGTTGTTTGTCTTTTGGATAATGGCCATCCTAACTGGTGTTAAGTGATATCTCATTGTGGTTTTAATTTACATTTCTCTGATGATTAGTGATGTGGAGCATCTTTTCATGTCCCCGTGGCCATCTGAATTTCTTGTTTGGAGAAGTGTCTGTTCATATCCTCTGCCCATTTTTTAATTGGATTATTTGCTTTTTATTTGTTGAGGAGCATAAGCTCTTTATATATTTTGGATGTCAACCCCTTATATGTCATTTATGAATATATTCTCCCATACTGTAGGATGTCTTTTTGTTCTACTGATGGTTGGACTCTGCTTTTTTTTAATTGAAATATAGTTGGTATACAGTACAACATAGTGATTTGACAATTATATACATTATTAAATGCTCACTATAGGTGTAGTTACCATCTGTCAACATACAAAGGTATAATATTTGCCTATATTCCCTATGCTGTACTTTTATTACTGTGACTAAGTTATTTTATAATTGGATATTTGTACCTCTTGATCATCTTTACCTATTTCACCCATCCCTACACCCTTCTCCCCTACCTTTATTCCTAGGTATTTTATTCTTTTTGACACAGTTATAAATGAGGTTGTTTTCTTAATTTCTCTTCCTGCTAATTCATTATTTGTATATGGAAATGCAACATATTTCTGTGTATTGATTTTGTGTCCTGTATTTACTTTCAACCTGTCTTTAAATGGTTTAAATGGTTACATCTCTTTGATACAAAATATAATTGGATTTGCTGTTTTAAAAAATGACTTCTGATATTTCTTTTAATTGCAATGGTCAGTATATTAACATTTAATGTAATTACTTATATGAATGGAATTAAAGCTATCGTTTTACTATTTGTTTTTTGTTTGTCTTCTCTTTTTTAATTCCTCTATTTCTCTTGTCCTACTTTCCTACTGCTGGATAAACTGAATTTTCATCTTGCCTACTGCTGAATGAACTAGATAATTTTTAGAATTTTATCTTTATTTATCTACTGGACTTGAAAAATTTTAACAGCTTTACTAAAATATAATTTACATACAGTAAACTACATGTTTTAAAAGTGTACAATTTGGTAAGTTCTAACACATGTACATAACCATGACACTGTCACCACAGTCAAGATAAGGAATATATACATTACCCCCCAAAGTTTCTTCAAACCCCTTACCTTCCTCCTCTTCTTCCCTCTCCCATTCCCATCCTCAGGCAGATATGCTTTCTACCATTGTAGATTAATTTAAATTTTCTATAAATGGAATAATGTAGTATATACTCTATTGTCTGGCTTTCACTCAGCATAATTACTTTGAGATTCATCCATATTGTTACACAAGTCAATAGTTCATTCCTTTGTATTACTGAATATTATTCCATTGTGTGAATGTACCACAATTTGTTGTTCACCTGTTGATGTTCATCTGGGTTGTCTCCAGTTAGTGATTACTATAAATAAAGCTAGTATAA